TTGACTCCTCGGTCGGTTGCTGTTCACGACTTAGAGTCGCGAACTGCTCTCCCGGCGAGGGTGGTCAAGTGAGGAATTGGTTGCGGAGGAATAACAAATAATATATCTCTATAATAATATATATCTCGCGATGCTTTTTTTTGCAGTTATGCGTCTCTGAGGTTCCGAGTATTAACCTCGAGTTGGATTTTTATTAGTGGAACTCCCGATTAAAAATTGTGGGTGGACTTACTACTTATGCGGCTGCTGGCTGCGATGGTGTTGATTCTTAAGCGAGGCCGGTGCGGCACTATGGTCGGCTCTGAATGGCAGGTCGGCGGTGTCGATGCCCTGGGATCTCGCTCTATGCACTCACTGGCACTCACTTTTTCACTCGCTGTGGCACTTCTAATAACTAACTGACTGACTAACTAACTGACCGACTAACTAACTGACCGACTAACTAACTGACTGCCTCGGTTCTGAGAGTCCTGGCTTATATACAGTTTTTGTAAGCGAGGACTCTCCCAATCGGAAAACTCAGTCGAGCTTTGCCAGTTCCCATTTGTTGATTAGTAGTCGGGTAAACTTCGTGAGATCGCCAATCGGCGACGATCTCTCGGCTCGTCCGATTTTCCGAAGAAGGAAAAAGGGAGAGTGTTGTCTTTGCGATCACGCCGCATAGGCCCCTTGTTTGTTTATAATAAAAATGCCGGAGTTTCTATTTGCGCCGGTCGCTCTAATTTTTATGACCGGCGTTTTCATGACCCGGAGATATCCGGGTTTGTTTGGAAAGCTGTTCGAATAGTTATCTAAATTTTTTGGGTAATTGCCGGGCCCGGTTTATCTTCCCGGCGCCGATATAATTTTCGTTTGTTCTCCTATCGTCTGGAGTTTTGAGTTTCCAAACGACAGGAGACCCGTTGGAGTTATTTATTACTATTTATAAAAAAAAAAAGGAGTTCGTTATGCGTTGGCGCGTCGCGTCGCATGAAAAAGGGGACCGTGGAGTCTCCAGGACGTAACACTTGAGTAGTGCGTCTTATTACTTTACCCTGCAATACTCCACATAGTCACATCTATCGATCCTATAAATTTCGTCCAAAGCGATTGATACAACGTTGCGACCTTCCTTTGAATAGATATAAAGTAGATCTAAGAATAAATAAAGTGTAAATTTTTACATGAATTTATTTAGATATCCCTTGTATTTATTTATAGATCTATTTTATATCTATTTAGATTTAATTAATATATTTTTCCATTTTTTTATCTCGTTAGATTTAAATTAGATTTAATTAATTTTTCCCCGGGAATATTGTCTTAAAGTTTAAGTCTTAAGTTTATCGTTAGTTGCTTTGTAACCAATGGAAACGACTTGTACTGAAGATAAATTTAAGACAATCTTAAATTCAAGATTTGACTATGATTACCAGTCTAAGTTGTCTTTTCTGTGTTTAGACTATTTTAAGCAACATTAAGTGTACCGAAAAAAGTAGTATATATAAACTTTTGCACCCTTGGCTCCAAACTGGTCTTCTCACTAGTGCAGGTAACACAATATCACTATTGCAAACACTATTACTTAAACAGAAAGTAGGGTAAAAGACCCAATTACTGTCATCTGAATGATAAACTCTGGCGTTAGTGAATTGTTTTTACTATTTCTTTATCAAAAACATGTGTTTTTCTTCTTATTTGGTATTATTCAATGTCTCTAATATAAGAAAAAATACGTCTCTCAAAATCTCTGTTTTTATTTATAAATTTAATAATTAACAAAGAACGATGCGAGAGCTATTACTGTCATCCTTAAAATGAAAGAAATGAGACAAAAATGTTAAGTGCTGGATTTTTTATTATATTGATTGCATTTAAGGACGTTGTAGCGCGAATCGCATTTAACAAGAAAAAGTTGAAACTTTGGATATACGTTAATAAATGTAATATTTACATTTGCTAGTCAAGTTTTAAAAAGATTGATCGTTCCAAACGTGAGATAATTAGTTCCAAAGATTATACTTTTTTTATGTAGTGTATACACGATTCATACAAAAATCGTGTACTTTTAATTCTATAATAAGAAAGAATAACAAGAGAGTGACCAAAAACAGATATATGGCAGAAGAGACCCTTAGGAACATTAGAAAAAAAATCAAAATGATTGACCGTTTAGTTTTAAAGATATAGTGATAAAAAGAACTGAAGTTTTCCTGTTATTTAGCGTGTAAGAGCGGATAGCGACGTTGCCAGATCGTTACTTTAGATCGTTACTTTAGACAATGTTTCATAGTGTGTGTGCATTGAAACAGATACTCTCTTTGTGTACGAGAGCAGACTGTACAAAAGTTTTCGGTCGGTACCGCTAAAAGGATTTCCTAACCTATACTCAGACATAAAACTGTTGCATCGGACTGTCGCGCTACAACGTCTTTAAAATTCTATGTTAGAGTTTTTCATGCATAACTTTTTAGGATTTATTTAATATTTTAAATAAAATAGCTTAGAATGACAGTAATTGGGTCTTTTAGCCTAGACTAGTCGAATTTTTAGTTTTAAAAATAAAAATTTTAAATTAAATTAAATATAGTTAAATTTTTACTTTTATCTTTTCTAGAAAAAAATTAAATAATAATTTATAATAAACACTTAAATTTTAACTAATTCACTCTTACATTTTACAAGCGGATATTGAAAGATAAATTAAAAAACAAGATTTTGCAAAACAATTATTTTGTTCTTGTAGGCATTAAATGGCAAACACGACGAAAGATACTAACACCTACATTTCATTTTAACATATTGAAACAGTTTGTTGACATTTTGATTGAAGAGAGCGATTGTATGATTAAGACTTTGAAGGATGTTAAAGGAACAGTTGTGAAGGATTTAGTACCATTTATGAGCGAACATACACTAAATGCAATATGCGGTAAGTTTTTTGATGCTTATCGTAACAATGTATATAACTATCCCATTTTTTAAAGTTAGTATTTCTCATTTTTTAAGTTTTCCTCTCATACTGCTATTTTACTATCGTACAGTAGTAGCGTAAATATCTTCAAACATAAAAGTACACTGTCAATATTGTTTTGTTAGTATGTTCTAGCCTATATATCTGCAAGCTGGTACATATGAGTAGAATAAACTTAGCTTTTCATACGCATGTACGACTCTTCTCAAACAGGAAATAGAGAGAAAACTTAAAATGTCAGACTGAGACGCTTCACTAATATAATAGATTCTTTTTTATGCTTACCTTTGATTAGTCAATACTGTTTGAATCTTATCATTTAGATTTTTTTGTTTCTGGTCTAAAAAATAACGAATGTCAGTAACTGAAGAAGTAACAAACTCACCCAGATAACCAAGACTGAATGAGCATATGTTGCAAAGTCTGCAATAACACATTATGCCAGTCCAATATAGCCAGCATTCAAACATAATCTGTCATTTCAACTTTTGTATACAACATGTTTTGATATCTCCAATAATTTTCGAGATACATCGAGAAAAGCGAAAAGCCGCTTTACACATAAAGAGTGGTTTTGTCATTTAGAATCGTTTTTGAGCCGCCATTGAAAATTTTTACATTTATCTATTTATCTTTCCTATTCATCTGTTTATCCATGTATCATTTATAGATGTACACGTGTACATCTATAACAAAGTTTTATTGTAAGAACATTTCTATGTAATCGCACGTTAATACAATTTTAAAATAATTGTTTTCTTAAAGTTATTAGCATCTCTTATATAAGGAACTATCTGTTGCGTAGTTATAACTACTAGTTAAAACTACTCTGCATTGTGATTACGTAAGTGAGTGATGTGTGCGTGATACAATATTCAATATAAAAACTGCAGTATAAGCATGCTTACTTATCTCTCAAGTCACGTTGCACTGCAACATACAAATATTCAGAAAATAAAAGCATCTGTATTTAAAAGCAAAGTATTTTTATAGTAGTGTATAACGCAACAGATAGTTCCTTATATGAGAGATGAGATAATAACTTTAAGAAAAAAATCATTTTAAAATTGTATTAACGTGCGATTACATAGAAATGTTCTTACAATAAAACTTCGTTATAGATGTACACGTGTACAGATAAACAGATGAATAAGAAAGATAAATAGATAAATGTAAAAATTTTCAATGNCGGCTCAAAAACGATTCTAAATGACAAAACCACTCTTTATGTGTAAAGCGGCAGCTTTTCGCTTTTCTCGATNTATCTCGAAAATTATTGGAGATATCAAAACATGTTGTATACAAAAGTTTTATGGTAAGAATATATCTATTTATCTACATTAATACGATTGTTTAAACAATTGGTTTTTATAAATTTTAGAAATTTATTTCAACTAGTGTTGACAGAAAAACAGAAAAAAAAGAGAATATAAATGTATCATGCCGTGATGCAAATATTATTGCATCAATCAAGCAGAACTTGCTCAAAAAATATAGCAGATTTGAAGCATAACGTGCTATTGTCATTTCATTTTTTATTTATTTCTATATTTTTGCTGTGTTATTTTCTTTACATATCGTGCCTACCCAAGTAGCATGAAAACGTTCAGCGAATGTTAATTTTGTGTTAGACATGTTTTATGTTAGACCCCGAACACTGATCTAACATGTTGAACTAATATAAGTTTGAAATGTTCGTACCTAAACGAAGAGAACGTTACGATTTGCGATTTTTCTTGGATCCTACATGTTAGTCTGAGAACATTCGGAGGACGTTTAGAAATTTTTTAAAACTGTATACAAATTTAAGATTTATCCAAGTAGCATAAAAACGTTCTCNTAACATTTGGCGAACATTCTTAGAACGTTTTACTGAAACGTTCCCGTAACATTTGGCGAACGTTAATTAAGTAAATGTAACATAAAATATATTTGACACAAATATAGCATTGTTTGAGACAAAAACTTTTGCGCTGTAAAAATGTACTTTAAATTATAATAATAATAAATAAGTAATAATAAGAAGAAAAATATTTTTATCCACTGTTGCAGGGATACATTACACTGCAATATTTTTAATAAGATAATAATTTAAAGAAATAATAAATGAAATGTGTACAGGATAGCTTGAGAATAAGTAGATAAAAATAATCACATTTTAGTAAGGAATAAGTGGTCTCGCGGACAGAGTGCAGGGGCTGTGAATACGGTAAGTCTTGAGTTCAAATCCCTGCCATCTTCTTAAGATTTTTTCAGATTCAGTTTCTTTTAATAGAGTTTTATTGGTTGATTGACGAGCTGAATCGGGCCTCCAAAGATTAATTCAAGTGAAATCTTGAAGCTGTGTAAAAACGCAAGCCGCGAAAAAGTTTTTTATTCTCTCTATGTAACGTTTGCCGAATGTTACGGGAACGTTTCAGTAAAACGTACTGAGAATGTTTGCTGAATGTTAGGAGAATGTTAGTTCTGAGCGAACTTCTAACATAACAAAAACGTTTTTTACTGTTACTGTTGAAACATTCTGAGAACGTTTTTATGCTACTTGGGTACGTAATTCACTCACTATGATGACACCGCTGACTGAGTGGAATCTGCTGCAAAGTGCTGATTAAACCTGCGTGCATACTGCTGGCATACTGCTATATCATTTAGCTATCGGGGCAGTTATAAAAGCTTTTTGTTCAATATAACTATATGAAAGAAAAAGACAATCTATTTTTTGTAACGATAAAACAATATAGACATTATAAAACATTACAAACAATATAAACAATATAACATTGACACTAATTGTTGTGTATACTTCATATTTTTTTATTGTAGAAACTGCGATGGGCATCAATCTAAGAGATTCCATTACATCTCAACAATATCGAGATGCAGTTGATAAAATTATTAAAATTGCCTGTTATAGGTTAAGTATGAAAGGAATACAGTGAATAATGCTTATTTTTTTAACATCTAAAATATATTAATAATATAACAAACTTTATGATTTAGATGTGTAAGATTCTGGTTGCACAGCGAGTGGTTGTTTAAATTGTTACCTATAGGTAGAATGCAGAAAAAATATTTAACTATAGTGCATAATTTTACAGACAAAGTGAGTAAAAGTGGCGCATAGTGTGACTATAACAAGAGAATCTCGTGAACAATAAATTCTAATTTTGATAAAACTTTGTAGAAAAAGTTGCACACATGTAGAAAAAATCAACAAATGAATATTAACATTTTCCGTTGCAGTCCAAAACCGGTTTTAAGGAAAGAACTCATCACTTATAATAAGTATATATAAAACGGCTTTTCACTTTTCTCAATATATCTCGAAACTTATTGGAGATATCAAAAATTGTTTTATACAAAAGTTTTATAAAAAAAACACTTCTACGTAATCGTCTTAACAAAATGTTAAAAATCTAATTTTTCTAAATTTTTCACAAATTTATAAAAACCAATTGTTTTAAACAATCGTACTAATGTAGATAAATAGATATATTCTTACCATAAAACTTTTGTATACAACATGTTTTGATATCTCCAATAATTTTCGAGATACATCGAGAAAAGCAAAAAGCCGCTTTACACATACTAGGTTGTTCAATAAAGAGTGGTTTTGTCATTTAGAATCGTTTTTGAGCCGCCATTGAAAATTTTTACATTTATCTATTTATCTTTCTTATTCATCTGTTTATCTGTACACGTGTACATCTATAACGAAGTTTTATTGTAAGAACAT